CAGACCACACAAGGTTCTTAGATTATTAGTTGGTGGGCCTACGGGCAAGCCAGGACGCTTCGCCACTGCTCGACCAGGAGGCCTCTTACCTACGATCGGGGCACGGCGGCAAGATGGGCCGAGTGCCCTTAATTACTTCCGCCGCCCCCTGTGGCTCGCCACGATGGTGCACGGCGTGCCGCACGTCTGAGAGGTTTTGGTTCTCTTCTGAAAAAGAACTCAACTGGGGCGTCGGCCCAATCCGCTGGCCACCAGGAACACTTTTCAACACCCGCCTCTCCTCGGTCATATCGCTGGTCAAGATGGCCCTCAAGATGGCCCCAAGACGCCTCGAAGAAGGCCAATCATGCCCCGAAAGAGCCCAAGATGGCCGAAAGATATCGAATGCCGGCGCAAGATGCACTCAAGACGGCCTAAGATGGGCTCAAGTTGCGTCAGGAGTCCTCCAAGAGGACCCAGAGGAAGGCCCGACGATGCCCAAATCCTTGATTTTCATATAATTGTTGGAAGATTTGGCATTTGCTTCACAGCGGCCTTCCGATTGCCCAAGATGGCCCAAGAGGCCTCCGAGATCATCCTGGCCTCCAAGATGGCCCCAGGACGGCCCGAGAGGCTCCCAAGATGGCCTCCCCAAGACGGCCCCACGAGGCCTCCAAGACGCCCAAGATGCCCTTCTAGACAACCCTGGATCGTCCCAAAAAGGCCCCAAGACGGCACAAGGGCTCCCGAGACGGCTTCCGACGGCGTCAAACGGGCCAGGAACGCCGCAAGACGGCCCCCAAGAAGCCCCCAAAGGCCCCAACGAGTCCCAAGGAGGCCCCCAAGAAGCGTCCAAGAGGCTCCCAGGAAGCTCTGAGGAGGCGCCAATAATGACCCAAGAAGCTCTCAAGAGGTTTCCTGATCCTTCTCCTCATCCTCCTTTCTCATCCCTCTCTTCATTCTCTTCTTCATCCCCCAGGTGTCCCCCGAAGGGCGTCCTCAACGGCTGGGGGAGCGCATGGTCCAATAGCGTGGCCCAATGTTGCCCAAACGTTTGGCCACACTCCTGCAATGCACGGGGCTGCGGTGATTCGCCGCATGCGCCTGCGATCCGTCGCTCTCGGTGGTTTGCCACAGGGGTGCACGGCGTGTCAGACTTGTAAGAGGCTGTGGCTCTTTCTAGAGGTTCCCAGCGGGGCATCGGCCGATCGCGTCAGCCACCCAAAGGAGGTGTACTCCATGGGCCATTTCGCCCTATCGAGACTCGTCAACTTCCCAAGGTGTCGATCGTCCCGCTCCAGACGGCCTCAGGGTGGCTTCCAACACTGCCGAGATGGTTTGCAAGACGGCTACGGTGGCCCCAAGAGGGCCCAAGGTGGTCCCACGATGTCTCCAAGACAGGCCGATCTGCCCCCCCATGATGGCCTCAATAGTTCCCAAGAGGCTCCCTGGAGGGTCCAGGAGGCCTCCCAGGGGGCCTCCAGGAAGGCCCGAAGAGGCCAACGCATTGATGGTCCTCGTTAGACGGATGCTGGCAATGGCTTAAACCTTGTTGCAAGGAGGAGGAGGAGGAGAGGAAAAAGAGGAGGAAGAGGAGAAGGAGGAGGAGGAGGAAGAGGAGGAGGAGGGGGAGGAGGAGGAGGGAGGAGGGGGGGAGGAGGGGGAGGAGGAGGTGGAGGAGGAGGAGGAGAAGGAGAGGAGGAGGATGAAGAGGAGGAGGGGGAGGAGGAGAGGAGAAAGATGGGGAGGAGGATGAGGAGGAGGAGGAGAAGGAGGGGAGGAGAGGAGGAGGAGGAGGAGGGGGGGGGGGGGGGAGGAGAAGGAGGAGGAGGAGGAGGAGGAGGAGGAAGAGGAAGAGGAGGAGGAGGAGGTTCCTATGGGGGTCTCGGCCGATCCCGCAGGCCAGAATTTGTCCCCAGCGTTTGGCCGCAGGGGCGTTTCCAAGAGGCAAGGTGCAGCGGTGGTTCGCCGCAAGCGTCCTCGACAGAACGCTGGACCCGTGCCCCCGAGGCCAGCAGCAGCAGCAGCAGCATGAGCAGGGAGGAGCAGCAGCAGCAGCAGCAGCAGCAGCAGCAGCAGCAGCAGCAGGGGCAGGAAGGGGGGGCGTTGGGGGGGGGGGCGAGGAACAGAACGAGGGAGAGGCGGGAAGAGCCGAGAGCCAGGGAGCATGAGGGGTAGGGGGATGGAGGACATGGTATGGAAGAGCAGGGGGAGGGATCAATCCAGAGGAAAACTATGAGTTACCAGGGTGACGATGATGCTGCTGGTGATGACGATGCTGATGCCACGGGTGATTATGATGATGATGATGCTGCTGCTGATGCTGATGCTGATGTTGCTGCTGTTGGTAAGGACGATGATGATGATTATGATGATGCTGCTGATGATGGTGATGATAATGATGGCGATGCTGCTGGCGATGACGGCGATGGTAATGGTGACGATGATGACACGGATGGTGATGATGGCGATGAAGATGCTGCTGATGAAGATGGTGATGATGATGCTGCTGATGATGATGGTGATGATGATGGTGATGATGATGGTGATGATGGCGACGATGCTGATGATGCTAATCATGATGTTGCTGTTGATTGTGATGATGAGTCTGCTGGTGGTGGCGATGATGCTGATGCTGCTGCTGATGATGATGATGACTACGATCATGATGGTGAGGAGGGAACAAGATGGGTGCGCAGGAAAGGACGTCGGAAAGAGAGAGAGCAAGAGGACGAGCAGAAGAACGCGAAGCAGCATATGCTTGCGGATGAAACGAGCTCTGTCCTCCCACGTCGCCATGATGTCCCCTGTCCAGGCAGCAGCCCCTGGCGCGTGTTTTTTTTTGCCGAGCTTGTTTCGTTAGTGCCCACGCACTTCCGGGATGACGCTGAGAATTTCACAGCGGAAGCAGCGAGCAATTGGCAGGACAGCGCGCCGAAGTAGAGGACCCCTACATCGGAACTTCGACCTTATGGGAAGCGGGGGCAACAGGAGGATAAAGAAGGAACAAAATCACATGCTCCATTGCTGCTGTGGCCCCATGGCGCCGAATACACCAATGACGCTCCCTGGCCCAAGCCCGCTGCCACGACACCGTCCATACCACACGTGCAACTTCATGCTTGATTGCTCAATTACGCTGTAATTGCATTGTCCGACCAGACGAGCATAGAACAAGGAACCGACTGTACTCCATCATAGGGACGCCAGGTAAGGGTGCAGGACCATAAGACGTCGACGTGTAATTCCTTGCAGCGGTATCGGGTCAGCAACTCCTGGATCTATGGTCAGGCAATGGCCGAAGACGCAAGGATGCACGGACAGACTTGGTAAGGCCAGCCTTGGTGATACACTGCGTCATTTCCCTGAAGCCTGTATGGATGTCGTAAGATAACTCATCGCGTGCGATTCGAAAGCCTTTCCCGGGAGAGTCGCTGGGAGACACCGGCCTCTTATTGCCGGCAAGCGCTGCACCCGCACGCCCGCACGCGCCAAGTTTGCAGTCTGCTTCCATCTGTTGATTACTGGGGAGGTGCTTCCCACCGATGGGTGGGGATGCCCCAGCCACAACCACCCCTGGATAACAACTTGGAAGCTGGAAACAAATGCAGCGTCCACATGCCGAACACGCGGAGGCCACTTGCCAGACAAACGCACGTGCGGAGGGCATAATTGCCTGGCAATGCAAGGGCTAAGCGCTACAAGGACATGCTGCCACATATAATCAGCGCCGACTACCTCGGGGATGGACAAAACCCCCTTTGGCAAAACGTGGTTTAGTGAAAACGACCTCGGGCCCAAACCTGGCGGGCTCAAGCCTGGAAAATGACGGCCGCGGCAACCTCTCGAGAACCGTAAACGGACAATTCACTCATCGACGTGCCAGGGTGGGGGTTCTGTCCACCCCCGACTGCCCTGGATGCACACATGTCGACGTCTCACTGTCACTTCCGCCGCCTTCCACCGACCTTCCTCCGTCGGACCCGCCGCCGTTTCACTTCCACTGACAGGCGAGGCCCTCGCCCCAGCCCGCCACGTCGCCACGTCGTGCGCATCCAGCTGCTTGGCACAGCTCACGAACTCGGGCGGAGCTCCCAGGGCGGCGGCAGCATAACCGAAAGCCGTGCGCTCGCCTAGGCGGGCCATGCCCGGCGTCCACGCGCGGTTGAGGGAGTAGAAGCGCTTGCTGGCGTCCACCGACGCCAGGGCCTGCACCTACGAGGTGAAAGTCGCAGCATCAGTCAGCATCGAATCGGGAAAGCGGGCAGGATGGACGTGTGCGTCAGATCGGGCTGCATCGGCACGGGGTAGGGCTTGGATCGGATCGGCCGCGCCAAGACGCACAACAGTGCCATGCAAGTGGAATACAAGAATCGAACCGGATCGGACCAGCCATAATCGATATCGATACCGAACTGGATCGAAAGTGGACCTCAAGGGGCAAGCTATACGCAGCAAACAAATACACCCGTTCCTTCTCCTCTCCCACCGTTAGCGGAGGTCGTCGTGTTTATGTGCATGGCCAGCTCCAGACACCCCGAGAATGTCAGGATTGATCCCATCTTGCGAAGCAAGCTTTCTCTCCGCTTAACCTGTCACTGATGCTGACCTCTCGCGTGGTTCCTGGGCAAACCTGCCTAGGATTCGGAGCACGACGTTTGCATGCGCAAGTACAAGTGCAGGTGTGCATCTCTATTTGCACCCTATACAAGCGATACATATATTGAAACGTATATCTCTCTGTCTCTCTGTATGTATGCCGTATATATATGTATATATGTATGAATGGCCCAGCGGGACGCGGGTCTTACACCATACACAGAACATCCGTCCGCCCAGTGCGCTTGTATCAGGGCCTTCCAGACGGGGACTTGGGAAAACCCAGACTCCGGCGCGCCCGAGAACAATGCAGCCGTGGGCCGAAACACTCTCCAGTCTCCGGTCTCTCCGCCGCGTGGAACTCTCAAAGTCCTGATTAGCAACGTCCTGGTTCCCAGCCCCCCGAAGTCATGCTTGTTTTTTTCACTGCGTGGACCCCAGAGGTCTCGACCATTTCCCCGGGACCCATTTTTCTTCATCCTGAATTGTTCTTGGACGGCCCCGATGCCCAATATGATGGCCCCCGGAAAACGACAATAGTGAAAGACCAGCTGTCGCATTTTTTTCATGACTCGAAGGGGTCTGGGTCTAGAGGGCCCTGATTCGATCTCCGCAAGCTTCCGCATGGCCTCCGCCAGCAGAGCCGCCCTCGCTCCGCTCCGAGACTTCTGCGGGCACTCTGGCCGCGGCCGCACCCCCGACAACGAGAATGAGAACAACGACAGCAACGATCACAGCGATAGCGAGCGTTGTGATCGTTGTTACCGGCGGCGAGCGAGGGGGGTAAGCGAGAAGGAGAAGGCCTTCTCAGAAGGCGGCGGGGCTTTGTCTTCGAAAAAGGCGTACAGAACAACTTCTCAGAAGGCTTCGGGACCTCCGAGCCTTCTGAAAGGCCCGCCCCTTCTCACGTTCCCCCTCGGGCTCGCCGCCGAGATGAAATCCTTGCCCTCGAGGTCCGCCCTCGGTCCCTCCCCTCTGCCGCCCTCTTCCAGAGGGGTGCGCAGAAAGGCCCCAAGCCCCCAGCGTCGGCGACGAGGGGGGGAGGAGGGCGGGGCAATGAGGCAGGCGCCGACGGGGAACAGGCGGAGGGAGAGCTGATACGGTGGAGGCCAGTCCACAAGAAACCTTCCACAAGAAACCCGACCCTGAGACCCCGGGACGGCCATCGATTTTCGGCGCGGGGGCGTCACGCTTTCCATCGCAAAACCATCGAAACCCAAGGAACCCAGGGCACCCTGGAGGCAAGCAGGGTGTCTCTTGGCATGGGCCTCCACTGTATGGAGGAGGGGGGCAGGAGGAGCCTCCGAGGCCGACGGCGAGGGACTCTTGGCCGCCACGCCCCAGCGCCTTCAACAAACGATCCCTGGCTCGGCAGGCACTAGCACGCCGCAGCGGAGAGAGGCGCGGCGGCTGTGGCTGCAACAACACTGTTTTGGAGCGCTGCACGGGATTGCAAGCTTCAGCGCTCACATTCTCGAGCTGACTGCGATAATGGGGTGCCTGACTTTACAAAGGGCTTCCCACCCATGCTGCGCAGCGCGAAAAGGCTGCACGGCATACTTGCTGGCCAGGCCCCTTACAGGGCCCCAAGTCGAGTGGCACTAGCACCGCGTACACAAATGAATAAGACCGAGCCAGGGCTGGATCTAGGCGTTGTTTTTCGTTTTGGTCTCGTTTTGCTTGTTGTTTTGCTCTACCTGTTTTCCTGCACCTGACTCCCAAACCGAAAAACATAACACAGCCGAAGTCCAGCAACACGGCGTTTAGGTCCAGCCCTGGACCGAGCCGTCCTGACAGTCAAACGCACTGGTCCGATGGCCAAGCGGTCGAGCGTAAAGGCACGCAGCTTGGGGTCGTCCTGCGGGCAACGGCCTGGAGGAGGACGCGCGGACACACTCTCGCTTCCCCCGGAGACAAACCGCGCTCCTCCTCACCCTCGACCACCATTCCCAACGATGGCTCGCCCTATCTCTCTCTCCCTCTCCCTCTCGCGTCTCTCTCTCTCTCTCTGTCTCTCTCCCCGTCTCTCTCTCTCTCTCTCTCTCCCGTCTCGTTTTTCCTCCCCTGATTCACCAGCAGACTCCGTCGCCATCGTTGCCCTCGTCGTCAACATCGCCGTCGTCGGCTGCGTCGTCGACGTCGGCCTCGTCGGCCTCGTCGTTATCATCGTCGTCGCTGTCGTCGTAAATTGCGTCGTCGACGACGTCGTCGTGTCCCAGCTGGGCACCTCCCCGTGCGCCACCCAGGGCTCCACGGCGCCGTGCCTCCGGGGGGCGACGCGCCCCCACAAAACCCAGCTGACGCAACCACGGTGCAGGCCCGCTCAACCTGCAGCGCGTGACGCCCTCACGGCGCACGAGCTTCCCAGCGGCAGCTCCGTCCATCTCTGCGTCCGCGCTGCTGGAGTCCTCCCAGACGGGGCCCGAGCAGATGGGGTCGGAGGATCGCGCCACATCCCCGATGCATCGGTGATGCCCCGGTGACGCTGGCGATGAATGGGCGACGTCAGCATGGGTCAAGTGGAGCTCCACATCGAGCCGCATCGCCGATGCATCGGCATTGCGGCGCGATCCTTCGACCCCATCAACTCGGATCCTGTTTGGGGAACCTCGAGAAACACTGAGCCCCTCCCTCCCAGAACCAAACGTGGACCCGATGCTGTGATTTGTTCCACACGGGGTCCCCGGAAGTCCCGGCCCTTTCCCCAGGGCCGGCGGCTCATCCCGAGCCGTTCATTCGACAGTCCAGAAGCCCGATGCAGCCCCCCCCCGAAGGCCGAAGACTGCCAAACACTGTCCGCCGTGACTTTGGCCACGACGCGAGCATGCCTGGCCCTGGAGCTACCTCGCCCGGCTGCTCCAAGCGGCGCCCTGCTCCCCGACCCTGCGCGCGCTCCCTCGTGCCTCGCCGCGCGTGCGGGGGCGGCGCTCGGGGCGGGCCTCCGCCGTGTTCCACCAGTGGTTGGTGAAGTAGTCGGTCTCGCCTGCCCGAGCCCGCCCGCCGCCAGCCATGGAAACCTCGGCCTGGCTCGACAGTCATCGTCCCACAGGAAGGAACGATGGATGAGGGGCGAAGGGGCTGGCCACGGCGAGCCTCGGCCACGATTGGGTTCCCCGACATGGGTCTATCCAACGGCCCGAAAAACAGAGCCCGTCCGGAGCCCGAACAGGTCCTTCTTGCAACATCGTGACTGTGGCCAAGCGCCCCCATGCCACGGCTTGCACAGCCGGAAGGCGCGGCAGACTTGAGGGGGGGTCCAAGCGTCCTCCCAGGGCGACGCACCCCCAGTGAGGTGCCGCAGAGGGGAAAGTTTCAGCGTCGAACGTGCCCGCAAACGCAGCCTCTGAGATTCCCCAGGTGGGCCCTGCGGCCGCCTCTCCAGGGCACGGTGGGTTCACTCAGCGACGACCGGCGCGCCGGTTTCCGACACCGCGCGGATCGTTCAATCCTTGGATGATCGAGGCTTTCCGACAGCACGGGTCGTTCGATGAGGACCGACTCTGGGCCACTGGCGGCGTTCAACCTTGACCGCCCCCACCGGCGTCGCCGCCTCGCCGCCACGGCGCGAACACACTGTACGCTTGCCATGGTGTTACAGGTTTGGCCTCCCCTGGCGGACACCGCTGCGAAACGTCCGTGACCAACCCCGTCAATGCAAAGGGGGCGCGGCTGGCTCGGGACTCGGGGGTTCAGAGGTGGCGCGCGGTGCTCGCCCCAGACGAGGGCCCCGGCGAGGGCAGGATCAACCAGCATCGAATGGCGAAGCCGGGTCGGGTCGACGCGAACGTCCGATCGGGCCGCATCGGCTCGGTGTCGACTCCGAATCGGGGCGGCTGCGCCCGGATGTACAACTGTGCCGTGCCCGCATGGGTCGCAGGGAAGGATCGGATCTACGGACGGGAACTATTGCTTAGTGTCGCCGCGGCGGCCCCAATGACACGCTATACCTTGCAAGCGGATAGCGTGTCGCTCCGCTCCACGGGGCGGGAGGCGCGGGAAAGCTCGTGATTTGACGCCTGGGGACCGCGACATGGATAGCGTGTCGCGCCGCAGCGTGTTGGGCCAGAACCTGCGGCGCGACACGCTCACCAAGAATTGCCGGCCGTAGCCGGGCGATCCCGACACCGAATCGGATCGACCGAACCGAAATGGGTGGGCCTCGGCGAGGGGTACGGTGCAGGAGCCGTCACGCGCCCTGTGACGCTCTCCACCGACCGCGCGGAGCTGGCAGCGGGCGTCGACGCCCCCAGCTCCGGCAACTTTAGCCGCCTCGATGCGCAACACGCAAGCCCGTAGCGTGTTGACACGGAGCTCAACTCGGAGATTGAAAACGTACGTTTGGCGCGATACGTTTGCCACGACGTGGGCCACCACGTTGAACCAACACGCAGCTTGATAACACGGACGTTTTGAACACGGCATGTGTTGCGTTTCAAAGCGGGCGTATCAGGGCAGCTGAGCCGGCAAAGCGCCCAAGACGGAAGGGCAGCGAGGCCGAGGGATGACCCCAGGAGGCACCCGTATTCCTCCAAGAGGCCCCAAGACGCCCCCAGGACCCAGGACACCAGGAGGCTCCAATCGGCTCCCAAGAGGCCCGGCCGAGAGGCACCCCAGGCGGTTTCCAAGAGGCCTCTGGGGCCGAGGGAGGGGAGAATGCGGGACAGGATCGGTCGGGACGGCATACGTTACGTGGTGTGCCGCTGGGCGATAAGAGGAGGAGGAGGAGGAGGAGGAGGAGGAGGACGAGGAGGAGGACGAGGAGGAGGAGGACCAGTGGAAACCCAAGAGTCATCAACGATTTTGGAATTAACCCTCCCTCCAAGCTCCCTCTTCGTAGGCCCCTACAACGGTTCATTGCCATTGAGGGAACTGCATCGTTGGAAGGCAACAGTTTGAAGATCCTGAAGTGTGCCAAAACATTGTTCTGGGGATTTCGACGCCACGTATCAACCTGACTGATGCGTCTTGACGATCCAGAATCGCGCCAGAACTCCATTCTTGGGGCTTCAACACAGCGAATCAACATAACTGCTGCGCCGGCATAATCCTGAACCCTTCCCAAACACAATTTCTGGTGCGTGGGTCATGGGAGCCAGTGCAATTCTTGTAATTGTTGTCAAACGAATGCGCGCGGAAAGCGAGAATCACATTTTGAAAACGACCCGCCCTCAATCCGTGAACCTCTTGCAATTTTCAAAATAATGTGCGCGGCGCTAAGGCGAGAACCACATTTTGAAAACGACCCGCCCTCAATATGTGAAACTCTTGCATGTTTTAACGAATGTGCGCGGCGCTTAAGCGAGAAACGTATTTTGAAAACGACCCGCCCTCAATCCGCGAAATTCTTGCAAATGTTTCACAGGAATGTGCGCGGCGCTGGGGCGAGAGCCACATTTTGAAAACGACCCGCCCTCAATCCGTGAAACTCTTGAACATGTTTCAAAAGAAGGTGCGCGACGCTAAGGCGAGAGCCACATTTTGAAAATCACCCGCCCCCAATCCGCGAAGCTCTTGCACATTTTGAAAACGAATGTGCGCGGCGCCATGGCGAGAGCCACATCTTGAAAGCGACCCGTCCTCCATCTATGGTGGGTCATAAATGGTGAGGAAGCCTCAGGCGAAACGCCCGGCCCGCCCTCAAAACTGGCCTCGGGGTGCGAAAGGGAAAAGTTCTCTATAAGGAAGAGGAATGGAGGAGGAGGAGGAGGAGAAGGAGGAGGAAGAGGAGGAGGAGGACGAAGAGGAGGAGGAGGAGGAGGAGGAGGAGGAGGAGGAGGAGGAGGAGGAGGAGGAGGAGGAGGAGGAGGAGGGGGAGTCGACGTAGCCTGGGAGGAGGAGGGGGAGGAGGAGGAGGAGGAGGAGGGGGAGGAGGAGGAGGAGGAGGAGGAGGAGGAGGAGGAGGAGGAGGAGGAGGAGGAGGAGGAAGAGGTGCAGGGCAAGGTCGGCCACCCTCGTGTCGGGAAATCGGGTCGGATCGCAGCGGGCGTCGACGCCCCCAGCTCCGGCAACTTTAGCCGCCTCGATGCGCAACACGCAAGCCCGTAGCGTGTTGACACGGAGCTCAACTCGGAGATTGAAAACGTACGTTTGGCGCGATACGTTTGCCACGACGTGGGCCACCACGTTGAACCAACACGCAGCTTGATAACACGGACGTTTTGAACACGGCATGTGTTGCGTTTCAAAGCGGGCGTATCAGGGCAGCTGAGCCGGCAAAGCGCCCAAGACGGAAGGGCAGCGAGGCCGAGGGATGACCCCAGGAGGCACCCGTATTCCTCCAAGAGGCCCCAAGACGCCCCCAGGACCCAGGACACCAGGAGGCTCCAATCGGCTCCCAAGAGGCCCGGCCGAGAGGCACCCCAGGCGGTTTCCAAGAGGCCTCTGGGGCCGAGGGAGGGGAGAATGCGGGACAGGATCGGTCGGGACGGCATACGTTACGTGGTGTGCCGCTGGGCGATAAGAGGAGGAGGAGGAGGAGGAGGAGGAGGAGGAGGAGGAGGACGAGGAGGAGGACGAGGAGGAGGAGGACCAGTGGAAACCCAAGAGTCATCAACGATTTTGGAATTAACCCTCCCTCCAAGCTCCCTCTTCGTAGGCCCCTACAACGGTTCATTGCCATTGAGGGAACTGCCTCGTTGGAAGGCAACAGTTTGAAGATCCTGAAGTGTGCCAAAACATTGTTCTGGGGATTTCGACGCCACGTATCAACCTGACTGATGCGTCTTGACGATCCAGAATCGCGCCAGAACTCCATTCTTGGGGCTTCAACACAGCGAATCAACATAACTGCTGCGCCGGCATAATCCAAAACCCTTCCCAAACACAATTTCTGGTGCGTGGGTCATGGGAGCCAGTGCAATTCTTGTAATTGTTGTCAAACGAATGCGCGCGGAAAGCGAGAATCACATTTTGAAAACGACCCGCCCTCAATCCGTGAACCTCTTGCAATTTTCAAAATAATGTGCGCGGCGCTAAGGCGAGAACCACATGTTGAAAACGACCCGCCCTCAATATGTGAAGCTCCTGCATGTTTTAACGAATGTGCGCGGCGCTTAAGCGAGAAACGCATTTTGAAAACGACCCGCCCTCAATCCGCGAAACTCTTGCAAATGTTTCACAGGAATGTGCGCGGCGCTGGGGCGAGAGCCACATTTTGAAAACGACCCGCCCTCAATCCGTGAAACTCTTGAACACGTTTCAAAAGAAGGTGCGCGACGCTAAGGCGAGAGCCACATTTTGAAAATCACCCGCCCCCAATCCGCGAAGCTCTTGCACATTTTGAAAATGAATGTGCGCGGCGCCATGGCGAGAGCCACATCTTGAAAGCGACCCGTCCTCCATCTATGGTGGGTCATAAATGGTGAGGAAGCCTCAGGCGAAACGCCCGGCCCGCCCTCAAAACTGGCCTCGGGGTGCGAAAGGGAAAAGTTCTCTATAAGGAAGAGGAATGGAGGAGGAGGAGGAGGAGAAGGAGGAGGAGGAAGAGGAGGAGGAGGACGAAGAGGAGGAGAGGAGGAGGGGAGGAGGAGGAGGAGGAGGAGGGGAGTCGACGTAGCCTGGGAGGAGGAGGGGGAGGAGGAGGAGGCGGAGGAGGGGGGGAGGAGGAGGAGGAGGAGGAGGAGGAGGAGGAGGAGGAGGAAGAGGTGCAGGGCAAGGTCGGCCACCCTCGTGTCGGGAAATCGGGTCGGATCGCAGCGTGCGTCGGACTGGGCCGCGCCGGCACGGAAAGGAGATTGTCGGGCGCGGCCTCCTCCTCCTCCTCGGTTCGGTTCGGTTCGGTCGAATGGCGGAGAGTCGAAGCCAATGATGGTGAGAGAAAGGTCGAGAAGAACGCTGGGTGAAGAATGACAGCAGGCAGCAGCAGCAAACCGCGAAGGTGGACTGAGCTGCCAAGCGCTCTCGGCGCGGCCTGCACCTGTAAGTGCAAGCAGGGGTACTATCACTTAAAGCTGATGGACACTTAAGAATGGAAAAAGGGAATAA